TATCTTTAGAACCAAGAAAAGAAGTTAATCTTTGGAAGAGAAGAACTATGGCTCCACCTCCTCCTCTTGCTTTGAATTCCAACAAGGTTAGATCATGATATTATATTATAATTAGTTATATTATAAAATTATAAGTAATCAATTTAATTATCATACAAAGTAGTGTTTTTTTTTTTCCTTTCCCTTTTTTTTTTTTTTTTGTTAAGTTTAATTTTCACTTTGCCTTGTATTTGATTTTCATCTTTATTTTTTCGTCTCTTGTAAGTTGTAATTAATTAGATTGTTATGTGTTACATATGTACGTTTCCACATGAACATAAATATATGGTGGGATTTTGCAATTTAATGTCTTCATGTATTTTCACGTTACAGAAATAATGAGCAAGAATTCAATGTATGACATTGTTGTTGCTAAGTTTATTATATAATCATTTTGCAAAGAAATAGAAGTTTTGGTTAAATGTACCATGTTAAGAGTAATAAAAGCATTATGTACTACTACATATTTTACAATATTGAGAGTGAGGGATAGCTCAAGTGGTTAGAGCATCCCTCCATCTCTCATGATATCTTGGGATCGATTCTCATCACCTGCCCACGTGGCTCTCTATACACACACACACAAAAAAAAAAAAAAAAAAAAAACATATTTTACAATATTTTTTGGGATTTCACTAGAATCATCTTTACCATTCTCGAAATTTTATGCCTATTTTTTTTTTTACTCAAGAAACTTTTAATTAATCCTGAGAGCTAAGAATTTTACTATAAGTACTCCGTACTTCATAATTCCTTTGTTTCTTTGTAGTTGTAACACTTCTCTTTTCACGTTTGCCGATACATGATTTCAATTATTAATATCTTTAATTACCAATATGTAAAAGCTATAAACATTAGATATTAAATTGGTATAAATCGAGACTAATCTAACAAGATCACACATGACTAAATTTTTTCATAGTTATAAATCATCAAAGCTAGTCAAAGTGGAACACGTGAATAGTGTAAAAGTCAAACTATTGCAACTATAAAAAAAAACGAAAGAAGTATAACCGAATAATAAGAGTGTTAAAATCATCAATATGTTTTATTTTTTGGTGTTCCACCTAGTTCACCATTTGGGTTAATCTGGATTCGGGGCTCAGTTCTGAGTGGTTAGATTGCAGTCCCCTCCAATTGTTGTTGCGGAGAATCGAACACGCGGTTTTCCCTACCAAATGTAGCCTCAATCACCACTACACCAACAGCCAATTAATAAAATCATCAATATGTTGATACGTGGTTTACATCTAAACAAAAGATATTCCTAGGGACCTGATAATTCCTTGGTCTTATTTCTTTTTATGAAAAAGAGACATTGCATTTAGATTTTATTTTTTGTTTTTCTCAAATGAAAAATGCATTGATAGATGAGAAATTGAGGCTTTGATTTGAATAATAGTTGCGGAGTGCCTGATCTGGCAAGCAACACTACAAGAAAAGGACCATGTAATATAATAAGATATACAAGTATTAATGAAAATCCCAACTTTCTTTTCTTGCTCATAAGCCTTTCATTTTAGAGTATTTGATAATTAATTTCATTTTTGAGTATTTTAGAGTATTGTTTCATCCACTTTCTTTTACCTTTGATTCAAATACAAATTTGATGTCACTTTCATTATATAACTAATTAATGTGAGTGGTTTTCAATTCATACGACTTTAATTTCTTCTTATTTATTCAACAAATTGCTTGATTAAAATTGTCAAAAGGATGAGTGAAAGTTTTCAACATAATCCGCCGAAGGCCTATAGCCCTAAAGTCGTTTTATATTAATACATTTCACCAAGCAAAACAAACATTATATTACTATGGGTCGTCTATACTATTATAATTTATAAAGAATGAAACTATGAAGTTTAATTAACCAAAAGTGCCTAACTTGTAGTAGCCGATATGAGTTCCGCGATTATATGTAATCTTAATTTCACCAAGCAAAGGAGGTAAGGAGCTCCCACATCAGTGCTTGGACTCGGAGGTTACTTCACCTTGATCTCCCTCGTCACATGCATGCATTTATTTCTCAAATAATAGGATATTTCATATGAACATTTACTTCAAATTGGAGGTGTAGATCCAACAATAATACATGGCCTTAAAAAATATCTATAAATTAGAGCTGACAAACGTATTGTGTTGTGTCATACTTGTGTTCATGTTCAATATTAAACAAGTTGAGGAGGCCAGGCTCAACACTAACCCGACCTATTTAATAAATGTGACGTGTCGTGTTGACCCATTTAATTAAACGTGTCTTAAACCTTTAACACTAACCCCCTTTTCCATGTCTAACACTTGAAAAAATGTTAGCATCATTAGAAATATGTCATATTTTTATAAATTATTGAATTTTTTTTTCGTAGGCAGGTTAAACTGTGTTAATTTTGTGTTGAGAATCTCAACAATAACCCGACCTGTTTAACTAAACGCGTTGTGTCATGTTGACTCATTTAATTAAACGCTTCACGACCCTTGACAATAACCCGCTTTTATCCTGTTCGATTCATGTGGTGTTGTCGTATCGTATCAGCTTTTGCCAGCACTGTACAAATGTACTCAATAACAATTAAATTTAAAAACGTAAAAAATAAGAATATCAATGTTAAGGTGTCAAATCCCATTTAATAGGAGATTGTTTTTTTTCCTCATTCTATTTTTTGCTTCTTTAATAAATTAAATGCCTGGCCTTTTTATCTAAATGGTAAAACAAACCCTATGCTAATGAGAGTAATGACCGAAAGTAGGAAAATATTAGCAATGCTTTTCACTTCATTGCTTCAATCATAGACCAGCTAGGTGTTTATTGTGCTCTTTTGTCTATATAATTAAATTTCACATTAATATATGTAATTTATTCAAAATGATGATTCAAACTGTTCCCTTTACTTTTCTTTTCTTATTATTGCAAAATCAAATAAGTACAAATTTGTGCTTTTGAAAAAAAAAAGTCATAATTTTGGATCAGTGTGGAGCAATACATGCAAGTAAAAGGCCGCTAGATGTAGTTAGTTTGTCAAGTTTCTCTTAATTTAGCTAGGTGTTAGGTCATCAATAAATCTAGTCTAAGAGATGTAATAGTCTTATCTATTAGTGGAAAACAAGTACGATTATGCTTAGGATTGTTGTCGTAAACTCTATTCTTTAGTACTCGTAACTATTACGCCTTGATAGCATATCATGAGATTTTGGATCAAATTTCATTCTTTTCTAGTCTAGTGATTTAATTAAAAGAGACTACTTGCCAACGATGACATGCTTGCTCCATTTTTTCATGCTAGGTACTTAGTACGGAGTATATAAGATATTATTTCCACCGTTTCATTTTATTTGCTGTGTTTCTCTAGGAATGCTTGTCAATACATGATTATAAGAATCACGAATGAATAATGTTAGGATTAGTGTGGAGATGAATTAATGCATGGAGGCATAAGGTGAATTGCAAGAAGTTGTTTTCGTTGAGGTTTGACCAAACTGATGAAATGTTCGGTCAAACAGGGTTTGAAGGCAGAACCTGCAGCTCATGAAGATTTAGAGCAGGTTTGGACCTTGTAGAAGTTCGACCAAACCTCCCTAGTTCGACCGAACAGGGGGTAGGTTCGGTCGAACCTTGCTGCTCTGTTTTTAGCGCTTTGATCTTGCTTTATTTTGCTCCAGTTTTAATCTTGGCTATTGATTCTCTTTGTACTCTTAGACTATATATAGTATTACTAAGCCTCTTTATTAGGGTATTCACAAACATTAAACACTAAGAGAGAGTTTGAGAGAGTTTGTGAGGAGCATTTGAATTCCATACAATTCATGCTTGTAATTCTTGATTTCATTCATCATCAATACTACCCCATAGTGCAAGGGTGGGTTTTTTCTCCCGGTTCTCGGGTTTTCCCATGGGAATATTGTCTCCTTTATTTGCTTAGTTTCCTTTAATGGGTTTTCTTGATTGTTATGCTTGCTTGTTCATTGTTGTTGTGGGTTGAATGCAAATGAGTTTGAGCCCTTAATCCTTTCAATTGGTATCAGAGCCAGGTTGAATATTTGGTGGTTTAGTGATTTAGGGTTTGTGTGAAACTTGAATTTGTGATTGAGTTACAAAGTTTGGGTCTTTAGATGTTCAAAGTTTGAATCTTGGGTGTCAAGTTGCATTCTTTGTTGTTGAAAACCTATTGTGAACTTTGTTTGTTTGATTTGCAATGGAAGAGGGCAAGTTGAAAATTGAGAAGTTTGATGGGAAGGATTTTGGGTTTTAGAAGATGCAAATAGAGGACTATTTGTATCAAAAGAACCTATATTTGCCCCTTACTAGTAAACCATCGGGTATGAAAGAAGATGAGTGGAAAGTATTGGATAGACAAACTCTAGGAGTAATTAGATTGACATTGGCTAAGAGTGTTGCTTATAATGTCAAAGATGTGACAACGACGGTTGGTGTGATCAAAGCGTTGTCCAATATGTATGAGAAGCCACTGACTATGAACAAGGTGTTCTTGATGCGTCGTTTGTTTGAAATTGAGATAAATGATTGTGGTTCCACTCCTGAACACATAAATGAATTCAATTCGATAATCTCTCAACTAGCTTCGGTTGAGATCAAGTTTGATGATGAGGTGAGGGCCTTGATTTTGTTGTCATCGTTTCCTACACTAGGAGAAAAATACAAATGGCCACCGGTTCAAAACCCCCATTTAGCACCGGTTTTGAACCGGTCCTTATTTAAGGGATGCCAAAAATCAAAAGATTTCGCACCGGTTCTTGTTGTGAACCGGTGCGAAAAATGGCTTAAAAAAAAACTTTTAGCACCGGTTCTGTTTCAAAAACGGTGCCAAAAATGCCCCATTTTTTTTTTTTTTTTTTTTTTTTTTTTTTGCATTTTTTTCACTTAAATTGATATATAAATACTAACATATATATAAAGTTACATATTTTTTGGTTGTTGTATAGTTTGTGCATCTCACAAAACCAACAAAAAGTACTGCACTCGGAAAAATGCCATAGCTACATTGATTATTGGCTGTGCAATGAACTGGATACATACAACACTAAAAAGATGTATACAATCGTACAGAAGCATACTATGTTGGGTTTTTTTTTTTTGGAAAGAAAAACAAAGCCAAAAGTTTCAACATCAAGAATTTGCCAAACAAAATGTACAAAGCAAATAGGCAGCAGCAGTGCAACATGAACAACAGCTAGAAGAATACACCTCTAGACAACTCAGCAGCAAGCTTGCGACACCAAAAAGCACACCAGAGCGACCTCTGAGTAACCAGGACAACAAGCAAACAACAACAACACATCCAGCATAACAGCAACAGCACCAGCAAAACCAGAAGCACTGAACCCAACAAAGCATCAGCAGCGATGACCAGCAACAGCACATAATCAAGTTGATGCAGCGCTAGAAGCCAGGAAGCAATAGACAGAGAACAACAACTGGAACACACAGATAAAAAAATAGGCTGCAGCTAATACAGAAGCAAAAGAACAATAAAGAACCAGGCAACAACCCAGCAATCAACAGAGCAACAACAGACAACAAAGCAGCAATAGCCCAGCAACCTGATGAGCATCACCTTGCAAAGCAGACCACTAAACAACAGCAGTTGGCAGGCAGTAGAGCAACATACAACAGACAACAGACGACGCTGAGAAACAACAGGCCAGTAGCCCACCAAGAACTAGCAGCTAACAAAACAAACAGAAGACAAAACCAGCCATCACCAGACCAAGCACCTGCAAATATTAGATGTGTCAGCTCAAAGGTGAATGAAAAAGGATGGTAAAAATGAATTCAACCACCACCAACAAACAGATTAAAAGGAAGGCATGAACTTTGTAAGAGGAATTTCTTATTTCTACTCTTTTTTTTTTTTCTTGTCATAGTAGAGAACAGAGAACCTACCTCTATTGCAATAGTAATTGGACTAAGATTATCTACCTTTACATTCCCTAGCTTCGATGCGATAGCTGCAAACAAACTAGTATGGATGTTAAAACAAGATAAATCCCCCTCTAATTCCACTCTGCCAAACTGGAGTTGTTTTGCAATCTAAACACCATATCTTGCTGCCATTGCTTCAGCAAGAATGACAAGAACATCACCTGCAGGAACTCTTTTCACACTAGCAACCAACATCCTGCCAACCCCATCACGAATTACAACTCCAAGGCCTACACCAATTCCAGCCAACAAGGCAGCATCGAAGTTCACCTTCACAGAACCATCAACATGCAGCTCCCATTTGCTACGACCATGTTGACCACTTGATCTTACACCCCATTTACAGCTTCACAGAACCATCAACAGTAGAATTAACATTCATACACCAGCATTTTCAAACAAATTAAGCTGTTTTAATCAGACATTTACAGCTTATCATATGCTTGTAATCAAATAAAGATTTAGAATAATCACAACAAATATTTCAATATCAATCAAATCTTGATAAAAATTCACAAACCCATCACCAAAAATCCTAACAAAAACAAACCCATATAACAAAATAATCCAAATCACCTTAAAATTCAACAATGCATATGGATTAAATTACAGGAAATAACTTGGGTAAAATATACATACTTCATGATGGGAAGATTCTAGAAAAAAAAAAAAAATAAACAACAAGAACCTAGAAAAAAGAAAAGAAAGTCCAACCTAGAATATAATGCAAATTAAACTGAGGAACTTCAAACGACAATAAAATCTCAGAAGAAATTGAAGAAAAAAGTACCTTAAGTAAAGGTTGAGAATTAACTCCTAGCAGTGCGTTATAGAAACTATAGACTCGTAGCAGCAGCTCACGACCCACGAAACCACCACCGCAACCACGAAACCACCACCGCACCCACGATACCACCACCGTGCCACACCCAAGAACCCACCACCACTAGCACCGACCACCGTCACCATAATCACAAAAAATTAAATAAAAATTAGAAATCCTATCATCTCACATTCTCACCATTGAATTCAATCAAAATTTCAATTGTTCATCATTAATAAAAAAAAAAAATCATAAAACCTAGATTTCAAATCGAAGAGCACATACCTTGAATTTGTGAATTTTGAATCGATAATTGATTCAAGTTTGTTGTTGTTGTTTTTGTTGTATTTGGTTCAAATTGACGGCGGCGGCGATGGTGGTTGTGCTTGGTTCTAATGACACCGATTTCGGACTGAGAAGGAGAAGGAGAGCGGTGTTGCTTGCGGCGCAGTTATGGAAAAGGAGATCGAAGGAGAGAGAAAAGGAAAGGGAAAGCGGCGGTTATGGAGAAGGAGATTGAAGGAGAGAGAAGGAGTTTGAGGAAAGAGCTGAGCCTCCATTGTTGAACCGTAGGAGAGAGAAGGAGAGAGAGGCAGATGAGAGAGGAGGAGAGATCGAGGAAAGAGAAAGAAAGAAGATTAAAAAGACCGGTTTTTTTTATTTTTTTTACAATAGAATTCGAACCGGTTCGAACCGAACCGGTGTGATTAACTCATTTTTCGCACCGGTTTGGTTAGAACCGGTGCGAAAACTCTTTCCCTCAATCCCGCCTATTTTTTTTGGCACCAAAAACTGGTGCGAAAAGGGCGGTGCTGCTTTCTGTTTTTCTACTATTGCTAGAAGTTGGGATATCGTTGTAGCCGCCATTAGCAACTCTTCCGAAAAGTCGAAGTTGAAGTGTGATGATGTGAGGGACTTTATCTTGAATGAGAGCTTGAGAAGGAAGAACTCGGGTGAGTCATCGGGTGGTGCATATTCTAGTGAAGGTAGGGGACGTGGAAGACAACAAAGAGGTGCTCAAAGAGGAAGATCGAATTCTAGAGGGAGGAGTAAGTCGAAGGGGAAGGTGAACATTGTGTGTTGGGGTGTGGTGTGAAAGGGCATACAAAGAGGTAATTTCCTAATCCCAAGAAAAAGGGTGGTTCAAACCACAAGAGCCACGATGATGCTAGTTCATCGGTTAGCTTGGTATCAAGCGATGAAATCGGTGATGCATTAATCTTGAGTGTTGATAGTCCCATTGAGTCTTGGATCCTTGATTCGGGAGCTTCATTTCATTCTTCTCCATGTAAGGAGATTTTCCAAAACTTCAAGAGTGGCAAGTTTGGAATGTTGTACCTTGTGGATGATGAACCGTTGGATATTATGGGGAAGGAAGATGTCATGATCAAGACTTCAAGTGGGAGCTCATGGAAGCTTAAAGATGTTAGGTACATACCTAAGCTAAGGAAGAATTTGATTTCGATGGGTCAACTAGACTCAAGCGATTTTAGAACCATGTTTGGTGAGGGTACTTGGAAGGTGTTGAAGAGAACTATGGTGGTGGCTGAAAAGAATGAAGTTCTTCAAACAAGTGTAATATTCCGAAAGAGGGTTCAGAATCAATTACAGAGTTAATTATTCAGTAAAGTCAAGTGATCGGAAAGTCCGCTAGTGGCCATCTCCGATTAGTGAGATTAATTATATTAATCTCACAGCTTTCCTCTAACTAAACCCAACGGGTCACACCCAAGCGTGCAACCAAACTAAGGCGACGAATTAAGTCGAAGGCCTTAATACGTCAAACAAGAGGATACGTACTTCGACGTCGGATTTCGAGCTTAGAGTGTCGAACCTGAACGTCGAATGTCGAGTTAAATTCTAGGAATTAACGAGACGTACAAATAAGTCAAACAACAAATAATAAAGTCAAAGTGCATAGCCCTAGCCTTGTAACGACCTAGCCGTACGCGGGCAAGGCTAGCACATGCTGCCGCAAGCACCAAGCAGCCCGTAAGGGAAAGATTAAAACAGTAAACACATTAGTAACTTCAAGAAAGATTAAATCAACAAAGTAAATAAATTAAATAATAATTAAAATATAGATATGGGACCAAACCCTCAGAACTATCAATATTTCCCGTCGAGGTCGAAGGCAATGTCGAGAAGGGCAAGGAGTATTCAAATCTCGTGAAATGAGGTATGGTATTTGATTGGGGAAAGTATCAAGGTCGTGTTTAGGCAAGGCTAAGAACATGAAAAATCAAGAGAGAGAGAATATTAGAAAGGGTATTGATGATGATTGTTGGTAATTCAAAACAGGGTGATACGACCGTTATCTATAAAGAAAAAAGAGAGTTGAAGCGATCAGAAAAGATAAGAATCCGAATCGGAATAAAACTCTTTTTATCGCGGCGCGCCAGGTCCATTGCGGCGCGATGGTCCTACAGTTTTGTGAATTTTGTTTTCATCATAACTTTTGATCAAAAAATTGAAACAAGATAAATAATATATCGTTGGAAAGATCTAAAGGTCTAATTTGCAACCAAATTATAATCAAATTGATATCTTTTGCAGAATTTGAGATATGATCAAAATAGTGGAACAGTGTCAGTTTTGGATAGAGTTTGGTATTTTAATCATATTTTTTTCATTTCTAATCGGAAGTGGGATTATGATATATCATTAGAAAGATAATTTCAAGGGCTATCCAACCGTTCAAGATTTGGATAAAAATTATGAGGCACAAAAATCAGTTTTGACCTGGAGTAGGATTATCAAAAGAGATGTTTTATTCAATATCAAATTCTTTAATCTTTATCTTATAGGGGAAAGGATATATTAGAACCTTCTAGAGGATTCTAAAAGCTCGTAATAAATCCTAATTGGTTTAGGAATGGGATTAAGGTATTGGAACCCCCTCATGATCATTGGGTCGTAGGTAAAACTTGGTTCGGCCTTGGTTTAGTATTTTGGCCATAACTTCTTCGTTATAAGTCAGATCTGGGCTTATAATGTATCGTTGGAAAACTCTTTTCAAACCCATCCAACTAAACAATAATTGGACCAGGACTATGGACTAAAATAATTTGGTGTGGACGTTTTTATGAGTTGGACACGAAATAAATGATTTTGGGTTTAAAGGCACGAAATGAATGATTTTGGATTAAAACATTTTAGGAAAGGTTAGAAATATGGTCAAGGCTTAAGGAAATTTTACGAGACTCTTCGACTCTTTACCGAACTCGTTAATCAAAGATGTGAAAGGTACTCTTCACTGGGTTTGGTTTTTGGGGAGACACAATTAGATGTCTACAACTTGTTAGCCACTTAGCCACGTATGTAGTGTCTTTACAGAACATGATATGAAAATGACACATAAAATCACTGAAAATTCTATGGAAGTTATCCTTAAAATGACTACCATATATTATACTAATATTTTATTGGCTGATTTTTTATTTATTTTTTATGTCAAAATTAAGTATAAATGTTTTTTCTTACTTTTTATTTTTATTTTTATATTTTCATAGTTAATTTATGAATTATTTTTTTAGTTTCAATAAAAATAAAATTGAAAATTTTAAATTAATTAGGAAAAGTATAAAAAAAAATCAGACATTATTTCAAAATTAATAAATGAATTTGAAAACTTAGATAAGTGATTTATAATCAATTTTGACATAAAAAAATAAATCAAAATCCTCTAATAAAAAATTAGTATAATGATAGTTATTTTAAAGATGATTATCAAAGAATCATCCTAAAATCACACATGAATAAATGTAATCCATATTTTATGTAATTATGTACACGGGACCAATCTATCTGGACATGCCTTTACTCTTGATCTATAGTCACCTAATCTGGTTCATTTAGATTTAAAAAAGAAAAAAAAAATTCTATCTATTTCATTATTGTATATATCCATTTAGTTAAAAACTAGATAATTTTCGATCCAATGCTCGGTTTTTTAAATTATTTATAATTGAAATATAGAAATTTCTAGAGAAAAATAACATAATAGTCTATCATAATAATAGCCTTCAAATAAAATTAATAATAAATAAATATATTGAAAATTCCCTCCAAAAAAAACCTCCAATTTAGTATAGAGTAATAAATATGAGATTAACACTTTAAATATGCTATGATCATGATCCTTGAATAATTATGATCGAAGAAATATTACAGTTAATAAATTTTAAATGTCAATTGTTTTTGCTGATCTTTAATGTCATTATTAATTTTTGGCTATTTTGGGCCCTTTCTCATTAATTTCCTTTTGGTTTTGTTATTGATTTCAACAAAATTACGTCTTTTGAGTGTAATAATTGCCTCTATGGTGGCTTTTGTTTATATTTAGTTTTCTAAGTTTAGTATTGTACAAATTGTTTTATGGGTAATGATTTATAAGGAATAAAAAAAGAGGTTAATATTAAAATTACAATCAAATGAATTAAAAAAAAAAAAATTCTTTGAGGCTACAATAGATCGGTGGACCTCTTTTCTAAGGAATGTTGTAAAATCTTATAAATTGAAAGAGGGTATGTAGAATGTGCAATACATAATAATGATTGTAGCTTAGCTTTACTGAAAGAATGTTTTAATTTTTGATTCAATTGACACATTTTTTTTTTGATTTAAATCACTTTGTAAATATCGCGTGACTTTTTATCAATGAATTAAGCTTTTTGTCATATAAAAAAATTAATTGAAAAATAACTAGGTCAACAAAAAGTCATATAAAATAGTTTTTCAAGACGTATATTGACATTGTGGGTCAATTTTGTGCCAATGGGATTTTATTTATTTATTTATTTTTTAATAAAAGCCAATTGGAACTTCTTATTGCTAGAATGTGCAATGTTGTTGATAACATGGATCCAAACATATTATAGTTAAGATTTCTAATTAGATCCCATTCACCCGCACCAAAAACTGTTCCGATCGGGTTATTTTAGGCCCAAATCCAAATTGAAATCTAGATAGACACCCGGCCCAATCCTATAAAGAGTTTAATCATATCGGTTGGATATTAATGAATACATATGTGGCCATTATAAAAAGTTCAACAATCTCTATCTTGTCTGGGAGTGTTGGAGAGAGATTGATAGATCAGACTTGGATAATTCAAATCTTAGGAGAGGCATATGGTGGATAACCACTTTCAGTAACAGGAAAAATAATTTTTTTTTTAATCGGAGAAATTGGATTCTTACAATTATTTGACAACAAACACCCAAAAAAAAAAAAAAAAAATGAATAGAGCAATAGTACAAATAAACATTTAATCCTCCTCTATCAAAGTGTTCAATATATTTAGTCATGTCCCGAACAAATGGTAGAAATAAAAGTGTATGCTATTATCATCGGATCCTTCAAGAAAAGTGGATCACCATTCACCAAGTATAAAATTTTCTAGCAACCCACTACAATAAATTTCAAATCACAATAATTTTTAATTTACTAGTAATACTAATAACATAAATGAAACTATAACTCTAGCTTTTTTTTTTTTTTGTTTAATCTTACATTTTGCTCATATTTTTCTATTTCAACATCCAATAAACCCGTATAACAATAATCCGGCACTGCTAGTGAATCTAGTAAGTAACGCGTACTCCTTGGTACCTTAAAATCTCACCAATAAGCTCACCTTTACCAGATCCAACATACCTCCCACAAATCTTACCATCCCTAATAAACACAAAAGTGGGGACTTCAACCACATCCATAGCCCTCAAAAAATCCATACAACTCTCATTTTCATCCCCATTCATCCTAGCAAACACCACATTATCCATCTGCCTAGACAACTTGATCACGGTCGGGTACACCTTAACACAAGGTCCGCAGTGCTTTAGCCCTACATCAAGCACAATCAGCTTGTCATCGCCTCGATGCTCGTTGATCAAGGTCTCGACATCCTCCCTAGAGTGAAGCTGCACCACTGCCGAGTGACTATCACCATAGTAAAGCACATCTCCTACTAGTTGATCGGGTCCTATTGCTTCCTCCTCATGAATCTTTTGCATGGACTTGTAGAACGTAAAGTGAGGGACTTCCTCTATGTTCTCCCTCTTGCATAGTGCCTTAGTTGCTTCGGATTCATCCCCCATCACAAGAATGAACTCGACGTCGTTACAAGTGCGGCTTAGCTCCACCATAAAGGGGTATATCTGGCTGCTTTGATCGCTGTCGCTCATAGCAAACTCGACCACAACGAGCTTGTTTTGAGCGGCTTTAAGGGCGTTGTCGAACTCATCGATGCTGTGGACTCGTTGGACTCGTTGATCTTTCTTGCTGGTTTGGTTTGAGGTGGCTGCCGTGCTAGCCTTAATT